AATTACACCGAATCGAATTACTTGTTGAAAAATGTGTTGTGCACTTTGCAATTTTAATCAGGACCAGCATTAATAAAGCTCAAAGTACATTCAACAATTTCAAAGCTTGCATTTGAAAACAAAACAAAAAATTTATTTATGTCTATAATAATTGAATCGTTGTACAACATGATGTAAATGCCCTATTGGAAGAACATAAATGTCCACACATTAATGGAATCTTTTTCAATTTGAAAATGCAAAAATTCGTAACTTTGAATGGGACAAATGGAGAAAATCAATTAAATTTTCGTGTGGTCGCATTAAAATTCATGCTATTTCATACTTATGACACTGAACACAGGGCATTCCACTAACTCTCTCGCATAAAAGAAAGATGCACAAGATTTTATTTTTATGGGCCGTGTAAATTTTTTTAGTATATAAAATCCGATGAAGCATTTTAGGTTTGGTTTTTTTGGCCGTTGCAACATTTGTTTGTAATTGCAAACCTTTTTTTGTGGTTTTGTGTTTGACTATGTGGAATAAATGAGCGCATTCCATTCTCACACATACACACGAAGTAGAGAAAGTAAAACGAGGACCACATAAAATGCCTTGCATAAATGGATGTAATTATTTGTGCGTCCGCTTTCTCTTTTTTTGTTATTGTCGTTGCCACGTAGTGCTTTTGCTATTTGTTTCGTTCTATTTGGAAAAGCAAATAAAAAGTGAAATGGTCGCATGGATGAATGTTAACAGCATTATCCTTATGAAGAGTTTTTATTTGTTTGCCGTCGGCGAAATTGACAAATTACACATAAAATATACGAGATGTTAGTAAGAGAGCGAGAGGAGGCCATGAAAGAAGACAGCGTGAAAACGTGCATCAACCATAGACCAATATAGATGCCACACATGATCCGCAAATATGTACGCAATTTGTTTTAAATGTGTATGTTGGCGAGATCCAAGCCGTCGCCTCGTTTTCTTTTCACGTGTAATAACGTTCAGAATTAATTACAATTTCGATGAAAGTTCTCTCTCTCTCTCCCTCTTTCTCCATATGCAAGTAAATTGTGTTGTTGTTGTTTTTTTCTCTTGCCGGCAGCCATCACCTGAACGGATGAACCATTCATTATGTAGTGTGCTACGCTCAATGTACACGTGTTTTCTATCTTCATTTTAACGTTTTGTATGTTATATGTTATACATAAATGTGCACACTAAAGATTAACATTTTTCAATGACTTTTTTTTTGTAAAAAGTCATTTAAAAATACATATACTCACGAAAATCCGGTGCACGCATATGCAAATGTAATCTCCGTCATTTGCATACATTGAATTCAACCGAAAGAAACTTTTTGTGTGTATTTTGTAAATTATACCTGTTATTTGGCATTCATCACAGAGAGCGGGCGGAGTACACACACCGTGATTATACCTATTTACAAAAATACAAAATGCCACATTGGGACATCATCATCATCATCGTTTCGTACCATAGAGATGCGTGAGCCGCATAAGAAACGACAAATAAAATACAAAACTTATCTCAATTTGCATATACAATATATTATGTGCAAAAAAAACATGAAGGAGAATCAGAAGAAGATCAAGAATAACTTTTGGTTTTTATTGAGTATTTAAATGATACGACCATCATTTTAATATGAGAAAGGTGCATAGTTTGAATATATTGGATGCCCCTTGTTATTTGTCCACTATTTTGAATTTGCTTTATTTTTATCATTTGTCAACTGCCATAATTTGAATGTTGTTTTTTAAATGAAAATGCCTTTTCTAGTATTTTCTTGCTTTACCTTCGATTCCCTCTCTCTTTCTCCTTCGATTGTATTGTATTGTGCGGTCCAGTACGTTGACTCTTCTTCAAAAAGACCTTTTGTAGTTGACCTGTATAAACAACTTTGTACGGCTGCAATAAATGTCGGATTTTCACAATGAAATGAACCAATGGTGGTCAGGTTTTCTATTGCATTTATATTGTTCAGAAATGTCAAACACCTCATTGAAAATTCAAAAGTTTTTTGTGTGCATACAACCAAAAAATACTCATACAAATTTGATTCAGCAAACTGTTTAATTTCCATTCATTGACATTTCCACTTGGTTCAACACATATAATAATTATATGCGAGGTTGAATGAGTGCCATTCTCTTGATGGGTATGTATATGTGTGCGTGCGATTAATAAGGACTCTCTTCAGTTGCTATGGAGTTTGTGGTGACAGATAGAGCAATGTAAAGTTTCAAAAAGCTTTAGGTGTAGATAAGATAAGCGATTGACAGAGAAAAATAATGACGATCGATAGAGTAATTAGAATAGAGAAAAAAGGAGAGAGGAAAGAGTAAGAGAGAAAGGGACAAGAAAGATTGAAAAGAGTGGAATTTCCACTGTGGAAACGGTGTGATGAAAACGCTCCTGTGACCGAAAGTGTCACCATGTTTCTATGTTCAATTTATTCAGATTGAATTTGCCGATATATTAGCTTAATTGCGACTCATTCGTCTTCCTGATGCGTGTTTGTGCGCTTTTACACGAAAAGACAAATCTCGTTTCCGACAGCGCTTTCCACAGCGTTGCTGTGTATGAGAGTGTTTGGTTGTTAGTTCGCATGAGTTCACTTTAATCCACTAATATGTACATTGGTTTTACCAATGCAAAATATCAAATGATTAAGTGCGCAAATTATAAAATTGCTTGGTATGTTTTTAATCTTAGAAAATTCAAAGAGTTCAATTTACAAACGAATTTTCAAACAAATATAAAAAAAGCAGGAGAAAATATGTCGCAGTCAGCGATTGTCTGTTTCATTGGATAAAGCACTTTGTCAACGGATTTTCAACTAATGGCACACTCGTTCATGCAAAAGCCCCTGAGATACCACGATCCTTTTTTTATAATACATTCAACCCCGTAGCTACCTATGAGGCTCAGTCTCCCCATTAAAATTTCAGTTAATTAAAAAATATTTCACGTAAAAATTAAAAAATGAGCAATATAAAGATATTGCAAAAAATGTCATCTCGCCAATGTATTTCGTTTCCTTAACGTATTGGTAGTAGTAGTTAAAAATGTCGTTTTTTTTTGTAAAAATACAACATTATGCGTGTCATTACTTTGACAGTGACAATTAGTGTATCTTTCAAAGTGAACACAAGTTTATACACACAAGTTTTTTATTGCGTTCAAAATGTCCAATTTCGTTCCAACAAAAGAGCATTTGCGGGAAGTTTTAATTTGCTTCTTCCATCTAAAGAAGAATGCAACTGAAGCACATCGTTTACTCACTGAAGCATATCCGGACTATGCTGTAGACATTAGAATGTGTCAGCGTTGGTTTGCACGATTTAAAAGTGGTGATTTTGACACGGAGGACAAAGAACGTCCTGGCCAGCCAAAAAAGTTTGAAGATGAAGAATTGGAGGCATTACTCGATGAAGATTCTGGTCAAACGCAAGAAGAACTTGCGAAATCGTTGGGAGTAAGCATACAATGATTTTTAGATAGGATAGATGCGTAAGATCTCCGCAAGATCCAGATCCAAGCGTGCGTACGCTGCCGCATGATGCATACATATATAATACGCACGCAAATTCGTTATTCTTATTTCCCCTTCTTTGATTCGCATGCCATAGCATTACGGAGTAAGGAATGTATGTATCATGCGGCTACGTACGCACGCTTGGATCCGGATCTTGCGGAGATCTTACGGATCTATTCTATCCAAAAATCATTGTATGGGAGTAAGTCAAAAAGCCATTTCCGATCCCCTAAAGGCTCTTGGATTCATTCAAAAGCAAAGAAATTGGGTACCACATGAATTGAAACCAAGAGACGTTGAAATACGATTGTGCATGTCCGAAATGCTGCTTGAGCGCCACAAAAAGAAGTCGTTTTTGCATCGACTTGTTACCGGTGATGAAAAATGGATTCATTACGACAACCCGAAGCGCAAGAAATCATATGTGAAGCGCGGAAAACGAGCCAAATCAACGCCAAAGCAAGATATTCATTGTGCCAAGGTAATGCTCTGTATTTGGTGGGATCAGAAGGGTGTCCTATATTATGAGCTATTAAAACCGGGTGAAACGATCACGGGAGGCCTGTACCGAACACAATTGATCCGTTTAAAGAGAGCATTGAACGAAAAACGGCCAGAATATGCGACCAGACATGAGTCCATAATTTTCCATCATGACAACGCTCGGCCTCACATTGCTCAGCCGGTTAAGAACTATTTGGAAAATAGTGGATGGGAAGTTTTGCCCCACCCGCCGTATAGCCCGGACATTGCCCCTTCTGACTATCACTTGTTTCGATCGATGCAGAATGCCTTGTCTGGAATACGCTTCACTTCAATTGAAGGTATCAAAAATTGGATTGATTCGTTCCTAGCCTCAAAAAATGAGCAGTTCTTTTGGCGCGGAATCCATATACTGCCAGAAAGGTGGGAAGAAATCATAGATAACGATGGCCAATACTTTGAATGATATGTTATTTATAGAATTTATTAAATAAAGTTGTATTTTTACAAAAAAAAAACAACATTTTTAACTACTACTACCAATAATATACAAAAATAGAAAAATACAACTGGAATTTCAAAAAAAAAAAAAAATCTTGTATAAAAATTTGAGGCTAAGATTCCTCAAAACACTTTATTCACGCTACGGTCTCAAATTCGGTTAATTTTCCGAGCACAAATTGAATGTACTGAATTGTTTATATCATTATTATTATTATCACTAAAAATGCAATGTCATAAATACGTAATTTTATCGCAATCGAGGAAATGGGCTTAGTAAAGTGTATGCACAAAAGCACATTAATCCAATCTGTTTTCCAGCGATCAAATGCGCTCCCTATTGTACATTCTTGTGTATGTGAATGGAATATGTGTACAAAGCAATTAATGTATATATCTATTATCGAATTAATGAGGCGAGATATAACAGTGCGAAAAATATATACAAAACATATTTTCTATGGATTCATTACTTATCGAGTCGTCGCTTGATGATAAAAATAAATACATGTATACAAATACAAATGCTATTATGATGTGTGACTTCACCGTAAAAGTGCAAAAAACGTTCAGCAAGAACCAAACAGAAAAGAAAAATACAAAATAATAAATGAAATATCATCGAAATAACACAAATAGAATGTATACATCAACGAAACGATCAAGAAAAAAGAAAAAAATGTGTACTACTTACCCAATTTCAAATAGCATTGTAAGTAGAAAGCGGGTCCAAGTATGACACTCAACAAACCTAAAATACCCTGTGGAAATTCGGTGATGAGAAACAATAATAAAACAGCAAGCAACATCCGTGTGGTGCGATCGGTTTGTTTTTCTTTTTCAAGCGATTTTGTATTTCGGCGATTTGTTTGTTGGCCACTGCCGGCGCCTCCACCATCGATTGCCTTGCCATTACTCAACATTTGCATACCATTCGAATTCATCAATTGTTTACGACGTCGTTTTGCCTCAAGCAATGCACCAATCAAACGTAACGATAATATGGTTAACGCAAAGCACGGTATCAACTTAATTAATATACTATACATCCAAAGATTGAATGTGATAAGTGATGGATTGTTCCGGGCAATATCGCTAAATTGAACTTTGTAGACGGTGACATTTTTGAAGCCAACTGGTAACAGTGATATCGAAGCGTTGCTAATATTGCTACTGCTACTATTCCCCTTATAAATTTGACCATTGTTATCGAGAATTTCAATGCTGGATTGAATGGCCGTTACTAAATACAATGGAATGGCAGCAAATGGACAAACAATATAGGCACTGGCAATTGTTATGAGTGTTGTACGCATATTACACCAAATACGATTTCGATGTGGATATGCAACCGCTATATATCGCCATACGGCCAACGTAACCGTCAACCAAATCGAAATTGTATGACAAATTTGCGCGAATATCGAATGAAACATGATGAACCAAGCAGTTGAATACGAGAACAATGTTTTACGTGTATAATTCATGTTCGGTAGTATGTAGTCAAACCACGAATACGGTATATAATCGATCATTACCAAAAAATCCGCAACAGCGAGACCAGTTAAAATGGCATTGGTTGGCGAACGTATTTCACGGCGCGTCAAAACCACCACATTCACAACATTCATAATGCATCCCAAAATGCAAACCGTTAAACTCAAGTATCCATGAATGGAATGATATCTGAAAGTAAAAGGCCACGGGTGGCAACGGAAATGAGAATTATAACAAACAAAATTATATAAATGACATACACATATATTAAAATCGATTTGGTTAGATTGGAATTCAATCAGCCATTTTTTTCTTCTTTTGTCGTATGAAAGAGTGGGGGGGACATTCGTTACACTAACGCACTCGTACATGCCAATAAATTCTGTTGCAACAGCCATATTTTCGTTAGTTATTTATTAATTCAATTGTTACAATACGTAAAACATGGACGAAAAAACAAGACTCTTGGCCCTCCACGGACGACAACACATTCGATTTTGTTCTATTTTCAATATCGTCTAGCGTCCATGCATGATAAATTGAGCAATCCCTTTATTTTATTGTTTTCGCTCACTGTGCTAGTGAGTATGTATTGCATTATTCCGTTGTACTTGTGACTTTTTTCACCGAATCGCATGAAACTTTCTTCCTGAAAAGTTTCTGAGATTGACAAGTCTAATTAACTTTCAGTGATTAAATCCAATGGATTTCATATTTCAGATGATGTAACAGAAAGAAAAGGAAGGCAAGAAACAATTTTGGGCCTTAAATGCGTATACTTTGAGCATACACAATCATAGATTTTTGAAATCACCAAAAGAATAGCGTTAAAACAAATTATTTATTTACAGAAATTGGCTCGATCTATATATATTAGATATCAGTATTGCTTTGATAAATTAATTTCAATTTTCATTAGTGATTTCGAAATAGAGAGAGAAGGAGAAAATATGTGCGCGCGTGTTTGTGTGGGTGGGTGAAAGCTTATCACGAGATTTTCAAAATGCACATAATTTGCCATTTCAATTGATGATTGATACAATGAAAATAACCATACAAGATTTGTATAAATTAAGAGGTATCGTATTTAGTCGAATGGTGGTATAATTTTGTTGAAAATTTATTGCTTGTACACGCTTATACAACATTTTGTTTAAATAATGCAGATAAATATCAATTTATTATTAATCCAATTTGATGAGTGTGCTACGATGAAGAATTTTCATTATTCAATCACAAATTGACGTTGCTGTGTCATGTTTGTTGAGTGCTATACTTTACGAGTTATTACTCCTCATAACGCAATGAAATTAAATAAAATCTCAATTCCTCTGTCCTGTTGTTGAACGCTGTTTTTTTTTTTTTTTTTTTTTTTTTGTTATCATTGCTGAAGGGTGCTTATGCGCTTTCTTTCTACAGCACTCATCCACTTTCGTATAATGCGAACTACGAGATGAGAAAGTTTATAAAACACACAAATTAAATTAACGCTTAACAATAATTTTGAAGTTGAAGCGCTTGTATTGGGTTAGATTGCAAACGGCGGCCATATCAGATTTAATTGCTATGTTTTTTGCCGAGTTTGGAATTTGAGCTTCACTATAGTCTAGAATGATGACTGCCATGGCTTTTTACACAACCAACCAAATATACTGTGTACTTGTACAGCGTATTTACTAAGTGTGACCACTTCCATTAACAAAGTTTCAAACACACACTAGACTTTTGTGTTCAATTTGATTTTTTTTGCCACCGGAAATGTGTTGGTTTGAAGTTGATTGTTGTAATTGTTGATTTTTGTCTTTTCTTTTACATCTTCTTCATCTCAAATTCGAACAAATATTTTGGTGGACAAAATTAAGTTTTAAATGGGTGAAAAATGATCATTTATCATAGGTGGGCACATCAAAGATTTTAGGGAGAGTAATGGTTAAATTGCAGAGGGTCCCGAGTCATCCGACTTATATATCTCTGAACTCTCATTTATTCTATCAAACCAGCTGTTAGAGTTGAGCCATAAACGAAGTGCCAAAGGCTTCATGAAGTTGTTTTAGTATTATTTTCAATTAAATATCAGCTAATTTTTCGCTGCAATAATTAATTTAATTACCAGTACCTTTTACCGAAACTGTGTGCGTATGTGTAACAAGGTCGACTTCAATTTCATACAATAAAAATCGAGGCAAATGAATGAAATAACACACAAAATGCATGTTTATACAAAATTCAAAATGTAACTCCTCCTTGCGTATTCGTTGGCCATTTATGTTAAAATCAACGAATTTATATGAAGATAAATGACCGATAAATGCAGATAGGATGCTGCCATTGCTCAACACAAAATTAACTTTGTCGTTTGGACAAAAGCACATAAATGCGTTTATGAGCCGTTGAATTTGCTTATATGGCATGGCCTTTCGAAATAGTTTTTAAATGTTTAAATACTTACCGCGTATGAAAATCATCTAATCCTTGGCCGCAATAAACAACCGTACTATTATCTGTGGATACGCTCATTGTTGATGATGGTGTACTTCATATAGAGAATATTATAACAATCTACCGAATGGTATGTGATGCAAAATAAATTCAATTCACTGCTGTTGCCTTTGTATGTTATTATTGAAGTTTGTCTGTTTTAGTGTCCAACTATTCAAATGTCGCCGTTTTAGTGTATTTCTATCTCTTTAGTTTAAGTTTTTCGTTTGGAAAATCGCCCGTTCTTATAAATGATTTGGTTGAAAGTCCGAAACTAAATAGGCTTAATGTGCAAAGTTACTCAAACCAATAAAATCTAGTGCCATAAACGTCAGCATACTGTCATTCTGAAATGAAAAACAATATCAATAAACATTATTATCATAGATTTCATTCATAGAATTTGGTGAAATGGCTTTTTTTGTATATTTGAGAAACAACTATAAAATGGAAAATGCTAAAACTGCAATAAAATTATTAACATGCTATTTTTTTATCATCATCGTTGTCGTCTGTGTCGTCTTGTTCTTCTTTTGTCGAATGAAAAAAAAAAAAAACACTCAATTTTTATTTCAGTTGATTTTGCAATAGTCATAAAAATCTGCTTATTACAGGCGTCTCACATGTTCAACACACATGAAGCGCATTCAAATTGGTTTTCGTTTCGCATCGTAATTTTTTCTTCGTTTGGTTTCTTTATTTAACATAGATTTGTCGGGTTAACGGATTTTTCTAGCGATTTGTAAAGAGAAGTAGAGCGCGGTGGTGAGAAACAAGCTATCAGACCGATAAAAGTCAAAATATTCGCTGAATAGACATACATCATAGTCATTGATGTAAAGTGTCAATCGTATATTTTTTTCTGTACATGAATAAAAAAGAAGCGGATTTTTTATATTCAGTAATTCTTTTCATTTTTATTGCCTCTGTCATTAAATTCATTGCGTGTTTTCTTTTTTAATTCGTCAGTCAGTGAGGTTGATCACATTTGCCGTAAAAAAAAATTCATTCACACAGACTTTTGGCAGCAACATTTTCACTACCATCATTCAGTCATTTTGTCTACTTCTCTCACATCCATTTTCACACACACCAAAAAAATAATATCATTTAAATGCGGTTATGCTTTCAGCCATCAATTGGGTTTCATGTGAATTTGAATGTTTTCGATTTTCCATCATAAACCACGGAAAATATGCGTGTTTTCATGATGTACTCCATAAAACTGTCAATGTCAATTTGACTATACGAGTGTCAGAACCAAATGTTGTGAACACAACATTCGAGGAACAATATATATGTGTGTGTGTGTGCGTGTGGAAAAATATGAATTTTATAAAATATTGTGCATTCACCATTCCAAGCAACACAAAACCGATACGTAAATAAAAGAATATCAACGAATGTTGGAAAATGTGTATTGTATTCTTTCGAGACGTAATGATCCTTTCACATTTCTTGGTTTATATTCAAAGTAGGGACGAAGAAATCACAAAACACACACACACAGAATAAATTCATAAAAATAATAAATGCATGTGCTAACACGTGCATTTGTTCAAGCTATTGCAAAATTCTTCAGTCTCGGGCCATTTCAACTGTTTTATATTTTGCGTACAAAGAAAAGAAGGAAGTTATCAATGAAATCATAAAGATACATCAATCAAAATCAAGTTTAAAAATGTCAATAGACAAAGGAGCGACATTTGTATCATGTAATTTCCTCGGTAGTTTCGTTTTATAAGGCTTCTATTGTATTTCGTCTGTATTCATAAAATAAATCACAAACTTTCTCACTTTCTGTAGATTCGATATTTTTGCTCCTTGCACACAGTACCATATATTTGATATAAATATTTTAACGATTGATTTTAGAAGTTCAGCAACATTTTTTACCATATTCTGTGAGCTGGCATCTCTTATGTAGCCCATTCATTTTTAATGGAAGTTGATGCAATATACATTGCAACTGTCACTACGGTCGATGCTTCAATCGATCAGCTTTCACATGGTGCACACATTGCCTTTCTACATTTTCAACCATTAATTCTTCTTTGGGTGTGTTGCTTTTTTTTCACATCCCAACCTCGAAATGAGATATTTTCTCGATATATTTCTAGAAGTCGAGAATATTTCCGAATTATATAGAATCAAATTTATTATTTGGAGGTAACTTTACCGAATGATAAATGAACGTGTAACCGCAGATTTAATGCGAAAAAATAAATGAAAAATAAATAAACAATTATGGAAGACAAACAAAATTGTGGAAAAATATGTATTAAAAATAATTGTGTTATGGCATTATATACGCGGGAAAAATATGATCTCTCTTTCTCTCTCCCTACCTAATACCACTGTTGGGTAAAGATATTATCTTATAGATACCAGATAAGATGAGATATTTTAGCAAGGGATCTGGAAAAAGTTGGATACTTTTCAAAAGTTTCTTAAAACGATGCAGTATCTTCATCCAACACTGGTAAATACCAAAGAAATCCATACACAAATAACAACTCCATTATGTAATGTATCGATTGATTGCATTTGTAACTCAACAATATTCGTGTTGGTAATAAAATAAATTGAATCGACAGTATTTCTGTTTTTTATTCAACGCAAGCATGGTTTGAATGTGGCAAAGAATTTTATGCAGATATATGTTTGTTTGGTTTTTTTTTTCTCGAATTTTTCATTTAATGAAAATGTCAAAGATAATATGAAACAAATTGGTTTCAAAACTTCAACTGTGGAAGGTTATTCAAAGACATGGCTTCAAATGGTGGGCGATAAATATATATATTTTTTTGAAAAAGAATACTTCTGAAAAATGGAATCACTGGATTTAATTTATGTGAGCTCCCACCATATTCTATTCATCATGTATATGTTGGGTGTTAGCATTACGTTCAAATAGCTTTGCTTATTTTATGCGTGGGGCATCACATGTACGCAGAAGTCAATAAGTATTCATCACAGAAACGAAGCTGAGTAGCGCGCGCATGTATTTGTGTTTGCACTTAGCACTGTGCTGTTATGACGTATACTTGTGATGTTTGTGAGTTAGTGTGTATGTATTGTTTGTGAAGAAGAAGCACATGTTTCAGGTGCACTCGTTTATATGTAAATTATATAGTTTTTTCAGCCCCTGATTTTATGATAGTAAATTTATTATGGTTTACATTTCCCATTATTTTTTTGCAGCTATCACTTTTTCCTTTCTCATCCACCACATATATTACAGTTTTACGTTTAATTATTTAATGGTATTCGATTCTAAAAAATCACTCCATGTAATTTTGTATTGAAAATATTTGCAAAGTTATTCGAAATATTGTTTCATTTCTGCGAGGAGAAGAGAATAAAAATGAAGACAGGTAACTAAATGCCGAAACCTATGTCTGGTAAATGGATATGGCTTCAGGCAAATGTGTTACGTATCCAAATATTAAATGTTAATTACCCTCATATTCCTTTCGATCGATTTGTACACACGTGCAAAATCCGATTACCGTCTACCTTTGTTTATTCATCGATACGGCTTTATAAAAGTGTTTTACCTTTTTTTGATCGTTGTGAAAGCTTAATTTCTTGCTCAATTGACAATCAATTGCATTTGATTGAGTAAGCTACATGTGAGTCGTCGTGTGCAAAATAGGTAAATGCTCTAGCTTTTTTCAATCAATGATTTTTCATCATTATGTGGTGCCACCTAAGGTACTTACTTAACCTTAACTGACAGCCAGTATAGACGAAAATGCGCCAGCAGTCTACACTGGTTCAGTATGTAGTACGGTAGTTGCGCCACTTAAAAATGCACAAAAGTTTGTTGAAAAAGAAATAACATTACCAGCATATAGCGTTTCCAGACATTGGTTGTGTGCTCTGCTTATCACTTTAATCATATGAAGAATCAAAGTCTTCGCACATTTGAGCTGGTGAGTGAATTAGAGCGCACTAATGTTAACAAACATTTAAAACGCAGTAGGTATATTGGGGAGATCCAAAAAGTGGAAGTGTTCCAAAAAAAAGAGCTCGTAGTAATGCTTAAAACATGTTGCACAATGAAGAAATTGGAATGTGTCAAACAGAGCTGTCAACGAACACCAACGAACGAACGGTTCGTTCGTTCGTAGTCATTTTTATTGAATTTTTGTTCGTTCGTTCGTTCGTAGAAATGAATTGCGTTCGTTCGTAGAAATTAAAATGTTCGGATTGTTCGTTCGTTGTTCGTAAGGTGTTCGTTCGTTGTTCGTAGGAAAAGTATGAAAATAAAATAATTATTTTATTGGTGAAATTGATAGTAAATTATATTTTGTGAATTTTGGTATTGAAAACATAGATTATAAGAAAAAATTGAACAAAACAAATATTATTTATTTAAAATAAACAGCGTAATAATCAATATAGTAATTAAATTCCTACGAACAACGAACGAACAAACGAACGAACAAAATAAAAATATTTTTTGCCTACGAACGAACGAACGAACGTTCGTTGACAGCTCTGGTGTCAAATGCAAACAAAACATACAAAGCCATAAAATTCCGAATAATACGATAAATGTGGCAAGAGACACTTTTTGGTAAATAATCGTTGCGCATCCGATTATGGTGGGTGAAGAGGTGACGGTAAGAGATGCCTCCAGGCATTTGTTCACAACTTAAGATAAGATATCAACAATATATATAGTATAGTGTACAATCTTTCAGCACATTCACATACAACAAAGCATTGCCAATGATGTTTTTTTTTGTCTCTCTCAAATTACTCCATACAATTTTGAAATTACGCAATGAAAATGCATAAGCATCAAAGTCAGTCGCACACTCAATTCTGAAATGCGAACCCATTATATAAAACGTATTTCGTTCGAAACGGTCACTTGTCATTTGGGAGAAATGACTAGAATCGAATTTTCCATTCGAAAATGCTAACCAAGAAATCTCCACTCCTTCTCTATCTTTTTATTCTTCTCTCTTTTACAATCTCATCTTATTCATGTTGTTACCATCATCATTATCATCCACAATAGAAATTTAGATTCCATTTAATTATCCGATGAAAATGAAACAATTAAATATTGTGGCTATGCTTGACGTGGATGTGCTTTGGTTTTTTAAAATGGCATTTATAATAGTACATTATTAAATGGTTCATGAAAGATCCATTCGAATGACATTGAACAGGCAAATATTTCAAGAACAAAAACCGCGTTCAAGAGAAAAACCTACCATTTGTTATATATTTTGTTGTTGTTGCTTTGTTATTTATATGGGCATTAAAAAAGTCGAGATATTTCAACTGAATTTATGGGTTTGTGCGTGAGTATTTGTAACAGAATGGC